GGTCAGGGTTAGGGTCAGGTTTAGGTTTAGGTTTAGGGTTAGGATCAGGGTTAGGATTAGGGTCAGGGTTAGGTTTAGGGTCAGGGTTAGGGTCAGGTTTAGGTTTAGGGTTAGGATCAGGGTTAGGATCAGGGTCAGGGTTTAGGGTCAGGGTTATGATTAGGGTTAGGGTTACAATTTGGGTTAGGGTTAGGGTTAGGGTCATTAATGTGGGCCACCATAACATCAGTAACAGCTCAGTTTTAAACCAAAGACACTAACCTGTAGAAACTCAGTTACATTTTGGGGTCTTTGTTTTTATCCTTGTGGTATCGAAAATGCTATCGAGTATCGAATATTTTCCTGAGTATCGGTATCGAGTATGAGTTGAACATTTTAGTATCGTGACAACCCTATCTCACACCAAACTCTGGTCTCTTGCAGCCAAACGGGGAACAGAAGAACGTTCCCATCTCCTAACTTCTCGCCCCTTTCGGCTCCGCCCCCCCGGGCCTTTGCCTCCAAGCCAAATGATATGGGTTATCAAAAGTCTGGAATGGGACGTCCGCGTTTAATATGTGTGAAATTCCTTGCAGATGAACCCTAACGAGCGCTGTTGTTTCAACCGAATTCTGAATTCTGCAGAGGTTGTGATAGGAGAAAGAAAAATAGGTGTGCACAATGAGCCGGAGTCTCTGGGGTGGAAAAGTTAAACAAAGCCACACAGCTCGGGAGTTATGAGCGAGACATAAAAATACTTGTTACGCTGCCACCATCTGACCTGTCGGGCTACTTCCAAACACCCCCGCAAATCCTGAGGAGTCTGCATCCAGAAAACCTCAGATCCGTCCTCTGGCTGCCCGTATCAAATCCAAGTCCCTGATGCTAGCCTACAAAGTGCTTAAGGGTACGGCTCCCATCTTGAATCCTCTTGCGAAGGCTTATGTCACAACTGGATCCCTCCGGTCATCAGTGGACTGTGGTCTAGCAGAGCCTTCACCAGCTTAAGACAATCCAGACTGTTTAAATGTGTCGTTCCAAGATGGTGGAACGACCTACCGAGCTACAAGAACAGCAGAGTCCCTGTCTGTCTTAAAGAAACTCTTGAAGACCCCCCTCTTCAAAGAGCATCCCCTAACCTAACCCTAATCCGTCAAGTCAAGTCAGATTTTATTTATAGAGCACATTTAAAATAACTGAAGTTGCCAAAGTGCTATACAGGTAAAAATAAACATAAAAAGCTAACATAATTTACATACATATATGTGATTTTCATGTAAAATAAAGAGGTAAAAAGGTGCTCTACCTCAACCTACGGTTAAAATGTTAAAAGCCATGTCAAATAAATGAGTTTTTAAAGAGGACTTAAACACCTCTACGGTCCGGGCGGATCTTATATTAAAAGGCTATTCCAGAGCTTTGGGGCCACACTAAAGGCTCCATTGCCTTTTGCCCTTAGTCTGGTTTGAGGGATCTCAATGTTTTCTTGGGAGCGTAAAAGTGCAGAAGGTCAGTTAGATATTGTGGTGTAAGCCCATGTATGGCTTTAAAACCTAACCCGTACCTCTACCCCCCCCACAACTCCTTCTGTAGTCCCTCTACCTCTACCTCTACCTCACCACTTTTAAAATTAAAATTCATTTTAATTTTGTAATGTCATTGTCTGAACGTGTGTTTGGACTGATTTTGTATTTTGTGATTTTGTGTTGTTTGGTCTTCCTGCCTCAGGACGACAGATGTAAACTAGCAACTATGCTACAATCTGGCTCATTTACAATCTGTATGAGATTGTTCATTAATGTGCACTGTCCTGATTAAAGAAATAAATAAACCACTAACTCTGATCAGTGTTTCTCCTCTGTATAGCTTATTGTCATAGTGATGAGAAATGTAATATTGTGTCTACTCTGTTAGTCGCTTTGGATAAAAGCGTCTGCCAAATGCATAAACATAAACATAAACATAAACAAAGGAGCCCCGAAAGGTCCCGAGCAGGAGCCTTTTTCCAGGTTCCATTATTCGGGTTTATGATCCGGCTAACTGGCCCCTCTGTCGGGACGCAGCCGTCTGAGTAATCCCAGAGTCTTCGGCTTTAACGACTTTGTTTGGATGCTGGTTTCTGTGTCTGGAATGAAAACACGAACTCGCCGCTTCGTTTTTTGTTTGTTTTTCTCCGACGCGGCGACCTGTGGGAAACATTAGCTCAACGTGCTAATTATAGACCTCGTTAAAAGCCGCAGATATTTCAGAGTGTGGAAGACGATTGTTTGGGCCGGGAGAAGGGGCTCCTTTGAACTGGCCGCCCAAAGGCTCCAGATGAGTTTGGATCTTTTCATTTAAAACAATATTTTTAAGAAACGGGATCTTGTGCTGTACAAAGAGCTGTCAGCTAGTAATTAGCTTGTTACGGTCTTCACAGGCATCACATCTAAGCTCCGAAACGTCTCAGAACCGTTTCACATCATCCAAGGAATTACCCTCAGCAAGAAGACCAAGAAAAGACTGAAAAACATTCACATCTTAGGTTAAAAAAAAAAAAAAAACGGTTTATATTCTCTCTGGTTTAGTTTTGAATTGTGTAACAGACATGTTTAAATGGTT